AGCACAAAATGTGAGGATATTTGTGTCCCATGTGATGTTTATCAAAAAGCAACCACTGCAGAGAAGGCCTCCATTAATCCAATAGATTAGTTGAATTCTCCTGTGAATATTAGCCTCTTTCCCTAGCACCCCAGTGTTTGCTTAGTGGGCTCAGGTACAAAGTAAATACGGCAGCAGGGACGATGTTATTCACTGATTCAACAACAGGAAATTCCCCCTCACCAAGGGTGATCTTGTTACCAGCACTGCTGCGTACCTAACCTGCTATAAACAAGGACCCATAGTGAGCCACCAAAAAGGCCTCCCTTACTAAAAAACACCAGCTACCTGGTAGCTGATCAATTACATTGGATCCCTTCCCTAATGGAAGGGCCAGCAAATTGTACATACTAAACTGGTACTTCTGGATATGAATCTGAAGTTCCTTCCTATAATACAACCAACCATGATCCTATAGACATGATATCCCTCACAATATAACTTCTGAATCAGAAACTCATTTCACAACAAAATAAATGTAGCAATGGATAAAATTCATAGGAATCTCCATGTACCTAGCCACGCAGAAGTGGCTTGTTTGGTAGAATAATATAATAACCTATGAAGACTCAGTTATGCTGTGTGCGGTGGCTCACACCTGTAATCCCAGCACTTTGGGTGGCAGAGGCAGGTAGATCACTTGAGGTCAAGAGTTCGAGACCAGCCTGGCCAACATGGTTTAGTAGAAACCCTGTCTCTATTAAAAATACAAAAATTAGCCAGGGATGGTGGTGTACACCTGTAATCCCAGCTACTCAGGAGGCTGAGGCATGAGGACTCACTTGAACCCAGGAGGTGGAGGTTGCAGTGAGCTGAGATTGTGCCACTGCACTCCAGCCTAGGCAACAGAGCAAGACTCTATCTCAAAAAAAAAAAGGACTCAGTTATTAGTCCTGGTAGGAGACAAGCCCCTGAGAGATTTCAGTGCTATTATACAAAATGTAGCATATAGTTTGAACCAGTGATCAGCATACAGTTTTATTTCTCCCATTGCCAGAATACATGGGTCCAGGAATCAAGGAATAAAAATAGGACTGATTCCTCTCAATATTATACTTAATAATCCTCTCACAGAATTTCTAATTCTCATCCCTGTGAACTTGGACTATGCTAGTTTACAGCTCTTAGTTCACAAGGAAATAAAGCTTCTACAAGGGCACATAAAATGATTCAAAATTGAAAATTGAGACTGATGCCTAGATATACTGGGATTCTTATGACACTGAACTAAAAAAAAACAAAGGAAGAGATTCCTTTGTTGGCTGGGGTGACTACAGGGATATTGGGTTGCTGCTACTCAAGGGGATCAAGGACCCCAGGGGAATCTCTGGATTGCCTCTTAAGACTTATTTCACAGTGAAAATTAGTAAGCACCCCAACTACTAAGGGCGCAGACCCATCCAGAATGAAGATTCAGCTACTCTACCAGGGAAAGAACACTTGCCAGCTGAAGTGCTGGCCAGTACCAACAAAAAATTAAGTAGAGGAAGAAGTTACAAATATCAACTGCAGCTTCATGACCAGTTACAGAAACAAGTACCAAAGTCATTGTGTAAATGTGCTTCACGGCTTTCTATATATCTTTGTATACACTAACTGTTTTTTCCTTCCCCCCTCAAGCCATAGGAGTATAAGGAATGCCACCAATAGTAGTGATAGTGAACTTTACAGTGTAGTCTTCAAGCTACAGAATATCCAGGTGGGACTGTGACTAAACTAGAAGAATTAACACCAATAAGAACAATAGTAACTGGTGAAACTTTGTGTCTCCCTTTTCCAAGGAAATGGTGAGCTTCATATTTAAACAACAGAGTTAAATCTACATAGACAGAAGCATAAAACTGTTATATTGCTGCAGAGAAATTTAAATATGTATGGGTAGAAGGATGTGTAGATACTTACTAGCCAAAAGGAAGGGTTGTGCTGGTTGGTTGTTTTCTGTGGGCACTCAGCCCTCTCAACATTTCACACACATAGCCATCCTTCTATAGTCAGCTCTGTTCTCCTGAGGCTGAAATTCTGCGATCTACATTCCCCAGACTTCTTTGCTAGCTTGATTGCTGTTAGGCTTGTCAATAGAAGGCATTTCTGGGAGATCAGAAGGTAGCACAGATAGCACTGTGATCCTTGTTGGCAGTTGGTACAGCGGCAGCCAGGGTGGAGTGATTCCAGATTCCAATGGACTAGAGACAGTGCCTATTAGCAATTTGAGCTCTGGTCTAGGCAGCATTTGAGCAGTTTCCAATAGTGCAATAGCAAATACAGGCTATTACAACAGTCTTCAATAGTGCAATAGCAGATGTAGGCTCTTAGCAGTTTCTGAACTCTGAGTGTCTCATCCTCCTCTTTTTTTTTTTTTTAATCCAGCCCCGCTCCCTCTCCTTTTTACTGTTACAGCCTGTTTAATTTGTAATTAATGTCAGTTTTAAATTTACTGTTTGAAACGCCTAGACTAGTTTCTAATTTCCTAACTGGACCTTAACTGATTAACCATCCCTTGAACTCTTACATTTTTCAGTTCCAAAATTGTTTTTTTGAAATAGAGTTTCACTCTGTCAACTAGGCTGGAGTATAGTGGCACAATCTCAGCTCAACTCACTGCAACCTCAACCTCCTCAATTCAAGCAATCCTCCCACCTCAGCCTCCTGAGTAGCTGGGACTACAGGCGCATGCCACCATGCCCAGCTAGTATTTAATGTATTTTTTGTAGAGACGTGTCTCATCACACTACCCAGGCTGGCTTCAAACTCCTGAGCTCAAGCTATCTACCCACCTCAGCCTCCCAAGTTCCTGGGATTACAGGTGTGAGCCACCACAACCAGCTGATTTCTATTGCCTGTTTTTTCTGCTGTTTCTCACTACTATCTTGTCTCTTCATATATCCAGTTATTTCTGATTGTTTGCTAGATGCTGAATTTTAAAATAATTCAGATATAATTTGAGGCGTTAGGAGGACGTTAGCTTCCTTCAAAGAAGATTTGGAGGATTTGAGAGCATTCGAATCACAGAGACCTTCATCCAAGTTGAACAGTTAAGATTTTCTAGACCCACCAGAATCCTCAAACCTTACCTATAGTCTAGCACAACTGGTTTATGTACAGTTCACCTTTATTAACACAGTGTAGCCCTTTGGGGTCCTAACTCTTGGCCCATCTACTTTTTCCTCCAGACCGCATGTTTACTCCCTAGATCCCCAAGCTGCAAAAACGAAACTCAGCCAGCCCTTCAGCTAACTATTGCAGAGTGGCAAATGTACCCATAGGAAAAAATAGCCCCAGGTGCTGGGTTTACTTCTCTGGATTCCTCTCCCCTCCAGGGTTTAGCCTAGCAATTCTCACTGTCTAATTGACTTTGATTCTTTTAAGAGGATGTGTTTTATATTTTGTTTTTAGTTTTCTTCATTGAAAAGCTGGTCCACCATTACTGAAGCAGAAGTCTTAATTATCTTTTCATAAGTATCACAAGCTGAAAAGAAAGCAGCAGAGTTTGAGGCAAAAATATCAATGTAAATAATTAAGAGTCTCTTACTCTAATAATAAAGAAATACCAAAGACAAATAGCCTTGTGGTATATAATTTTAAACTTTATTTTATCCAGAGGTCAAATTACATTTATGTAAACCGCTAAGTCTGTCAAGGTTTACTTCTCCATTCTGATGTGCATGTATTCGCCAAAGACTTAGATGTAAACATCCAAGAAAGTAATAATAACCAATACTTTTTAAAAATAATTGTAGCAGATAGAAATATCATTAAGTTAGATGAGGATTCAAGTTGATCTGATTCAAACTCTTCTGTAAAGAGTCCAATTTGAAGATGAAAGGCTAAAAGAGCACCAGAAAGCATAAGCAGAAGGATATTTTTGCAGAGAAGAGTCCAGGTAAAATGTTATTATATTATGATCACCGTCAATCCATCTCAATCATATGGCCAATATTCTCAACTCTATTCCTTTTCATTATTTTAATTTTCACTGAAACTACAGGAAATCAAAGGAAGGGGTAATAATGAGCAGCCCCAAATTTTCAGGCCTATTTTCTCAGTTCTGCATTCCAGAAGGGAAGCTTCTCCTTGCTATACATGCTCTTCCCATAGAACAATCTAACCACATTTACCAGTTCTCCAAAAAAAATAAAAAATAAAAAATATGCCAGAATGAGATTAAATAAACTGAGAACCTCCTCATTAAAGAAACTCCATAAAATAATCAACAGATAGGTATAATTAAATTACAAAGGTACCTGAAAATAAGACAATCAGATTGAACTGACATCACAGACAAGTACTATCAGGAAACACTGCTCAGCCTGCCACAATGTTCTCCTCACTTCCCTCCCCAATCAGTTATAATTGTATAATGATATCACTATACTTCATAAGTGGCAGTGAAAGGGATTCACTTGGCCTTTCTTCCATGACTCAGCTCCTTATTTTAGCAGGCCAAGTGGCTTCATGCATACAAATATCCTTTCTGAGATACAAATGTCTACTTACATTTTTATTACAGATTTTAATATAAGTTTTATCTTATGGCTTCTTCTCTCATTAGGTCATGATAAATATATTTTACCATGTTTTGACAGATTTCATAAGAAAGAAAAAATAGTATTGGTAAATAATTTCCTCCATCTAGCAAGCCAGGTTCATTCTATATGAACATTTTTCTTCTTATAAAACAAGAAGGTCAATTTTTCAAATAAGAATTTTAATTGAAATCAAATCTCTAGTCCTAAGGTTAGCAAGTACCATGCTAGTCTAGAACCCTCTCAAAAAGAAACTGTAAATCTGGTTCTATAGAACTTTGTATTTAAACTAACAATATGCAGTTCCATTAAAAAAATCAGTGCTGTATTTTTCTTAACATTTATTAAAACATTAGACATAAGCTGAATGGGGGAAAATGGTGATCAAATGCTAAAAATATAAACATAAAAAAGTAAACATAAAAACAAATCCCTTTCTAAAAATTCATTTAATTACAAGAAAATTAGCCAGAAAACTGCATAGTTCCAAACAAATTTTGTCTATAAAAACAAGTGTTCATTTACCATCTTTTAAAATTTATCTTTTAAATAATGTCTCATCTACTGAACCTAGCCTCTCCTGGAAGCATTATAATATACAAGTTTTCTTCATGTTTAATATTTCATAAAACAACTGGCCTTTGTTCCTGAAGTTAGGATGATGCCTATCATTTTACTTCAGAGAAACTTTAAAATTACTCCCTAGTGACTATTTCAATTAATCACTCCCAAAATCCAATGCAAAAACAACAAAAAACACTGCTATTTTACTAATAGATTCCTGTCTTCCATTTCATTTTACCAGTGCAAGTACAAATTCAGAGAAAAGCTTCTTAAGTCCTGCAGTTTCAAATTCCTTTTGTAATTCATCCAACGCTGAATACTCTTTGACTTCAAATGCCAGAAACCTGCATTATACAAGAGAAACTCATGAATATGCCTAGATTTGTCAGAGTATAATTATCGATTCAGTTGCTTTTCCATCTGCAATAGTACTAAATTATACCTTTTGTGTTCTGTCTGTACTTTTGTTTCAAACAGTACACTAATCATTTTCTCTTTGCATTTCTTTCCACTTGAGTCCACATCTACTTTGGAGGTTTTCTGAAGAGTCAGGTACTCCTAAATAATAAATCAGTACATTAAATACATATCTTACTCTGAATCTCAAAGTCCTCATTTTAAAGGAGCCATAAACCTATAGGCTTATTTTCATGCTTAAAGAGTACTCTCTTTTTTTAATCGAGCAGTAAGAATTTTCACATACTTGTTTTTACATACTTGGCAGAATAATGTAGTGGTGGATATAGGAGTAAAGAACAATATATTCCAAATCCTCAAGTTTAAATCTGGATTGAACTGCCTACTAGTTCTTACTCTGGACTGGTTATTTAAATCCTCTGTGGCTCAGCTGCCTTCTCCATAAAATGGGAGTATAACAACATGTTATACTCATGGGGAAGTTGTACTGATTAAATGAGATAATACATGCAAAGCACTAGAGGAGTGCCTGGATATAGCGCCACGGCACACTTGCAAGCACAAGCTACTGTTCTTACGGTTACAAATTCAGCAGCTAAATGACATTGCCAGGCACATAGCACTTACCATTCCAAACTGATAGCATCTATAAATATGTACCTATACATTCTCAATCATAGTATACAATCTTACAAAAATCTAAGAGAAATGTACATAAAATGACATTTTAGAGACAGCTAAAAAAAGATCTCCTAGAAAAGTATTATTTCTCTACATTAGCAGAGTTCTAGTAAATAAGAATAAACATTTGTTAATTAATTGATGTTTCAATCTGAGTAACAACATCTGCAAAACAGCTGTGTTTAACCTAATACTCCTGAGGTGGCTTGAAGAGAAATCTGAGCCTAAAGGTAAAGATGAGCAAGAAAATTAATTTTTATTTATTTTACCCAATAGTCAGCTACTATTTTGCCCAAAAGGATCAAATGTTATAGATATGCTACAAATCACTTTAACAAGTGGTTCCTCAGTCAGCCCCAATCCAAGATAGATCTTAAATCTGAATTGTTGTATCTATACATGTTAACACAGCATGAGTCTGGTTAACCACATGCCAAAGTAGTTTTGTGGTAAAAGCCCATCATGAAAAAACTAGGTCATTATTCTACAAATCTTTAAGATTACAGGCCGTTCACACTAAATTTGTCTTAAATAAGTTGAAATGTAATTATTCACGACCTAACCTATCTGAAAGTATAAAACCTATTAAGTGATTTGTTGCGCTTCTAAGATTTATAATAAACAGCTTTCCTCATCTTGTCCCACCTAAAACAGGTCAGATGAGTTTAGAATAAGAACTTGAAAAATATGAAGAAGATGATGACTTTGAAAGCAACTGCTGAGACAAGTCAGGTGGAAAGCAAAAGTTAGGTAGGAGGTGACAAGTTGACAGCCCTAATGATTCTACTTCTACTAACACGAAATCTCGGTTATAACAGACAAGCTCCTCTTTCCAGGTATTATAGATACCAAATTAAAGTGTCAGAATGTATTTTTAACAGCCAGAAAGTTACAAATCTTCCAGACTATCCATAAATACATACCTCGCTGTGCCTCACTATGGGAAGAAACATTAATATGCACAAACTTTTAGTGCACATTTATAAAGTTGAGGCTCATAGCTAATTACAGAAACAAACACTCATGTGCCACAGAGCTTTTAAAATAACCTGTCACTTTATTAAGTGACATGATTTTTACAATATAATCTTATTCTTCAAGCTTTGCAAGTTTGTACTTGTAATTAGCAGTCAGACATTCTTTAAAGGAAAATGAAGATCCATTAAGATGGCAATAATGAAAGCAGAAACATCTTAATAATTAGTCTATCCTATTGTTATAAAACACACTTTAAGACACACCATTTTAAGCAGCAAATAGCCAGATTCATACTCAACATTTAACTTTTTGGCACCTTGAGGTTGCTTCTGTCTCCTTGTAGTAAAATCAGTATCATTTTACCCATGAACATCAGTCTTCCTGTCAGTCTTAAATCTGAAGCCCACTTCTCCACAGTTTTGACATATTTAGTCTTTGCTCTCATGTGATCTAAATGTAAAAGAGTTATCCACAATCCATCATCCACAGTCGTACTTGTTGAAAAAGTACATTTTGCATTGCCACTTCCAGTTTCCAGTTGGTTGAGGATATGCCTGAGATTCTGCTGAATCCAGAGAACCAGCTCATGAACCATAGGCTCTGACAAAAGGCTCTCTGCTTGCTCAAGTAACTTCTCTTTCACAGTCACACACTGGGCCCTGGTCAACTGTTCAGAGTTAACCGAGATACGAGGTAGACATGAAGGATAATTGACAGGCAAATGGAACACCAGTTCCAGAGGTATATCCGCATCCATAAATCCTTCAGCTTTTGTGTGAATTCTGAACATGGTCCCATCTGTCTCTGCAAGGCATGCAAAAATAATCATTAGCTGTATGTACATTATTCAATTTCAGTGGAACACTAACAAGTTCAAACTTTTGTTTCAAATGTCAATTTATTTTTCATGAGAAAACTCTGAGCTATTTTATGAAGGAACACATAATACTAGGAAAGCTATGATTTACAAATTATTTCCTTCAACTATACCCACATATTCACACACACCAGCACCCTCGACTTAACTGGCATTTACACTTACTATCACCCCATTTTTACTAAATTACCAAAAAGGCTTTTCATCATATACTTTTTTTTTCTAGCCAGACTTAGTTGATAATTCCGAAAATCCCTAATAAACTCATATAAGCTTTCAAAGATACAATACCATGTATATATAAAATCAGTGATTAATTAAAAAATTATACATGAAATCCAATGAAAGTCATTTTATGGTAAGTCCAAGTAAGTCAAAGCAAACAATGGAATCCCACGTGATTGTAGGGTTGCAGAGAAACTGATGACTGCATGTGGCACCGTAACTGCCTGGCCTGCTCTCTTCTTATTTCAAATATTAGTATCAGTGTAACATGAAGGTAGCAAGATGAACTGAAATTGAGTGGCCATCAATTCTGCCTCTTCCGGCTCCTAAGAAGGAAGGGGAAAGCACACACAGGATATCAGATGAAATCCTCTGCTCTCTTTCAGATTTGCTCGGCTTCACCCTCTGATGTGTTCCACACCACTTCACGCCACTTTTCAAAAAGATGATAAAATGTCAGGCTGAGTAGAACAGAACTGGGTGCAAATAAATCTCTCTGAAGCTAACCTGCCTCTCTCCACCCCTGCTTCTCTCTGCATGTGCCCTTGCTTTATTCCTCTGCATGAGAGAAGCAGTCAAATCTTTCCCATTTTCATACCTGGATTGCTGCTCAACAGCCTCAATGCCTGAAACCTGACTGTATCCCCATTTTAAAGAACCTAACAGAACATTAAAATTGCTTCCTAGCCTTCTGATTCCACATATATAAAAGCCATTGCTACAGACATTCATTCATACAGGACCAAACACATCTGTTAGAGTTTTTCTTTCATACACTCTTCAGTACCACCTTCAAGGAACTACTATTTTAGGACATCATCTGAAAACACAGTTAACTGTTATAAGGAACATATTAAAGTGATACAATTTATATTTGTATTACATAAGTAAAATGTATACTGTATACCCTATAAAGAAACATTTTCCAAATCTAACTTGGTATATTCCTCTAAAATCCATCATGTTTCTTAAAACCCTTCTTTCTTCTATCTAGTAACTTATTCTTTTTTTTTAAACAAAGTCTTACTCTGTCACCCAGGCTGGAGTGCAGTGGCATAATCTTGGGTCACTGCAACCTCCACCTCCCAGGTTCAAGCGACTCTCCTGCCTCAGTCTCCCAAATAGCTAAGATTACAGGCATACACCACCATGCCTGGCTAATTTTTGTATTTGTAGTAGAGACAGGGTTTCTCCATGTTGGCCAGACTTATCTCAAACTCCTGACCTCAGTTGATCCTCCCGTCTCAGCCTCCCAAAGTGCTGGGATTATAGGTGTGAGCCACTACACCCAGCCTAACTACTTATCTTTTTTAAAAAAATATTTTATTGTTAAAGTAGGCTGCCTATGTTAAATCAGTGCATTTCAATAAGTAAAACAGACATTACAAATAGAACTACAGAAAACACATGACCATTTAGGAAAATAAACTTTCTAGTAATTATCTAGAGAGTTAACATTCTCTCTTCAAGGAGGAGGAGAATTTTAAAGATCTTCATTCATTCCTCATTCAACAAACATTCACTGAACACCTGCTAAAGCTCAGGCATTACTAGTCTCTGAGGGAAAATGACAGGTAAGACACAGATCCTATCATAGTGACTCAATCCAGTGTTTCAGAACACGAAAGGGAAGACATATCCCAAGTGATCTTCCTTGACTTCTCTTCTACATCTAAACATTTCTTTATTCATAAATATGCATACATATACATGTACATATAATTTATATAAACATAAATGCATGGTGGTAGATAATTCTCCAGGGATCTGGCATTTCTGAATGCCTTCTGAGCAAAGGGCATCGATAGCTTTGTTCAAGGACATCTATGTAACTGACAACCTTGGAAGCTAGAGTTTCTCCCTCCAGATCAGGGAGCAGATTTGTTTCCTAAGCAATATAAAATAACATATTCCTCGGGACAAAGATTGAGCAGGATCACTAGCAAAGCCCTCTTAAGACCGGAGGGTTCCTAAGTTCACCGCTCCTCAGCTATAATAAAGACCCACTCAGTGCAGTATGTGTACCTCAGCCTACCTCCACATCACCCCACTGGACTTGGGGGACAAGGAGAATCAATGTGAACATAAAGCTAATGCTGCCTGCTGTGCAGTAAACAGTAACTGCCCAAATCCATCTGGGTTCACTGTCTCCTTACTGGCTGAATCATCGAAGTGTGCTAGTGACAGAGGATATGCAGTGGTTGCTGCTGCCTAGGAACTGCTGGGCCACTTGATAATATAAACTTTTTTTTTTTTTTTTTTTTAGTTACTTGCTCCTTTTCACTGTTTAATCTGAGAAAGAAGTGTCTTCCTCCCTTCCACAGGAAACGCTATCACTGCTCTTGTGCTCGTTCTTTTTGTTTGCTTTTTGAGACTGGGTCTCACTCTGTCACTCAGGCTAGAGTGCAGTGGGAGGATCATGGCTCAAAGCAGCATCAACCTCCTGGGCTAAAACACTCCTCTCACCTCAGCCTCCTGAGCAGCTGGGATTACAGCATGTACCATCATGCCTGGCTAATTTATTATTATTATTTTTTGTAGAGATAGGGGTCTTGCTATGCTGTCCAGGCTGGTATTGAACTCATGGCCTCCAGCAATCCTCCCATATTGGCCTCCCAAAGTGCTGGGATTACAGGTGATGTGCCACCACACCTGGGCAGTGCTTGCATTTTCTATCCCTCCCTCTAATTATTCCTCTCCTCCACTAACAAAATATTTATCTTCTCCTTGCATAAAAAAATTCAGTGCTACTAATTCCCTTAAGCTACAGACCTGTCATTCTCTATCCTTTCATCTGCAGTCTTCTTAAAATATAATTCTCTCCACCTGCATCCATTTTCCCACCAGCCACTCTCCCTACAACTACTTGTACTGTGGCTCCTGACATACCTTCTCTCTGAAGCTCCTTTTTTAAACATTACCGATGACCTTCTAATTGCCACTGTGCAAGAAAGAGAAAACTCAGCAGGAGTGGGTTGCTCAAATTCTGCACATTCCCATGATCAGCCTGTCTTTAGGACTGGGCCCAAGGCTGGCTCCTGAGAGCTGAGCTCAGAGTCCTGGTAACATTCTGCCTGTTAAAGAGTACGGGTTTGTTTTTTGTTTTGTTTTCTCTTGTTTTTGTATGTCTGAAGTGTTGGGCCACATAGTGTCTGTTTGATTAAATGATTTAGGCTAACGATGTGATTTATGGTAAATCTTCTTGCTCTAGAGACTGGAGTCTAAGTAGCTGAAATGAGTCACATAGGTACTACATGCTGAAAAGATTGACCCCCAACTAAAATTCTGATCAGGAGGCTCAAGTGAGCATTCCTGGTTGGGAACACACCTCACATGTTGTCACACTTGATTGCTAAGAAAATTAAGCATGTGTGTGTGACTCTTCTGGAGGGGACATCTGGAGCTTGCTCCCAGTTTCTCCCGGACGTCATTCCATGCAAGTCTTTTCTTTGCTGCTTTTAGTCTGTATCCATATGCCGTAATAAACTGCAACCATAAATACAGCAGCGTTCCTGAGTCCTATAAGTCTTTCTGGCAAATCGCTGAGTGTGAGGGTGGTTTGGGCATCCCTGATATAGCCACATTTGTGGCTACCTTTCTCCAGCACCCAAACCTGCTGAACCCATCTCAATATTCTCTCTTCCCTTACCTCCCAGACATCAGTGTCCTGATTCTTTTCCTACATCTCTGCTCATCGCTGAACTGTTTTCTCTACTTTTCCTAAACCCCTAAATGACAGGCATTCTGTAAAGCATAATGCCATGCATAACTTTCTTCCTCCAGTTATCTAGGCATAATTTTTTTTTATTATTTGAGACAGAGTCTTACTTTGTTTCCCAGGCTAGAGTGCAGTGGTGTGATCTCGGCTCACTGCAACCTCCACCTCCCAGGTTCAAGCAATTCGCCTGTCTCAGCTCCCGAGCAGCCAGGATTACAGGCACCTGCCACCAGGCCTGGCTCATTTTGTATTTTTAATAGAGATGGAGTTTTACCATGTTAGCCAGGCTGATCTTGAACTCCTGACCTCAGGCAGTGTGTCCCCTCAGCCTCCCAAAGTGCTGGGATCACAGGTGTAAGCCACCACACCCAGGCTAGGCATAAAATCTTAAAGCTGACTTCCACTTTTTTTTCCCCCTTCTTGTTTCATACTTAACATTCAACTGCCAAATCCCACAAGTCCTCCAGAATTTCCCTCCCTTCCACTCACATGACCACCCTCCTAATTCAGGCCTTTCTCTGGCTTCTGTAATAGTGGTCTCCTAGCAGTCTGCCTCGCCCCACACCAAATCATCCCAATACCACTCTCCCATACAGACAAATGAATTACAAATTCTTCCATGCAACACCTAGGGCCAGCCTACCACTCTGACTTCCTCTCTCCTCACTCTTTGCTTCAACTACCCAGTTCATACCATGTCCTCAGTCTTGGGTGTCCAATCTCTGCCTCTTGCTCCTACTATCCTATCTTCCAAGAAGGCCCTTAACTTTCTGTCTACTAAAATTTTGTCCAGCTCCACAGATCCTCCCTAAGTCCTACCTAATGACTTCCATGGTATTTCAAACTTATTTTATGGTATTTTCATGCCCAGAATTACTGTGGTTAAACTAAATTAACATTTTCTCCAGCACTGAAATATCTCAATTTTCTTCTTAAACAAACACCAAAATGGGGGAAGGGGGTGGGAATACAAAAAACTTTTAA